AGCAGGTTGGCATGAGTAGCATGGGGTCCACTCAGGCTAAAATGGGCTTAAAACTACATAAGAAGTAATGTATTAATTATGGGAGGTAAAGTACTCCAAATTGCAAGGACTTGCATATATATATATTTCCCACATCACAGCTGAGGATTAAAAACCATTATCATATTGTTTGCAGCGTTCAGACTATGATGACAAAGCCCCACATACTCACATGGTTGGAAATACTGATTTTATTCTGGAGTCCCACCCCAGGTCATTTAAAGAATCTCAGGAGTCACTTATAATTCTGTATTAAGTCAGTCCTCCTCCGTGCGTGCCTGCTGATGCCACCTGTCCCGAGAGCACAGAACTAGCTGTCCCCATCACGGCTGACCTCTACCACTGCTGATTTCTGGAAGCACGGACAGGTGCCGGGCTCGGCAGGTATGCTGTGCTGGCTGAGGTCCAGCGCGTGATAAACCTCCTGGACTAGACAGCTCCAAGGCCAGGCTCTTCGAGGCCGAGATATCACCATGGTAACCAAGGGCCCGGCTTCCTTGGAAACAGGGCGCTGTAGCGATCCTGTTTCCGGTGCTGTCCAGTGCTGTTTACAGCTGCTGATCCTGCAGTGTTTCCCTTGACTCTCTAATATATACCCCGTCAGGTGTCACGCAGCAAAAAACACGGTAGACAAACACAACTGCCTCTGGCCTTTAGACGCCAGCTCTCTGAGTTTGTACGCAGGCATCATCTTCCCATAAAAAGAAACAGTAACAGAAACGGGGTCTGCCTCCGAATAGAGGTGCAGTCCCAGCCTTGAATCATGTCTCGATTCAGTCCTCCTCGGAGAATCTTTTGGCTCTGGCGTGACAGCCAGATCACCCCCCAGCTGTCCGGATCACCCTGGACAATGCGTTTGCTCTTTGGGTTTCCTGTTGGCTTTTTATGATAGCTGGTTTCATTGGTGACCACTCCAAACCCTCGAACGTGTTTTCTTTTCTTTTTTTTTTTTTTAAGATTTTATTTATTTATTTCACAGAGAGAGAGATCACAAGTAGACAGAGAGGCAGGCAGAGAGAGAGATAGAGGAGGAAGCAGGTTCCCTACTGAGCAGAGAGCCCGACGCGGGACTCGATCCCAGGACCCTGAGATCATGACCTGAGCTGAAGGCAGAGGCTCAACCCACTGAGCCACCCAGGCGCCCCTCGAACGTGTTTTCTTTAACCGCTTTAAACCTCAAAGAGATATTTGTGTTCCATTTACCTTCCTCCCCTTCTTTGGCTACTAGGAAAAAAAAAAAAAGTTTAAATTGATGTATGAGGGATACCTTTCACCTATCTTCACAGATCAGAATTTTGAAGTTCTGGGCCTTGGCTGAACCATGGAAGTGTGACACATTTCTTTCGGAACAGTGAGTACTTGACCTACATCACTAGAAGGGGTCACTGAGAGCACAAGGGTCTGTATCAGTAAGCACAGACAACTACAGTCCTCCATCCCGCAAAAATAAAAAATCTGGTTCTCCCAAGCCCTAGGGAGAATGCTACTCTGGAAATGTGAGGTTTTCCACATGTGTTTAGGTTCTCCCTAGCAGACGCTCACTCTGTGTGCTCCCACAGACTCCCTCAGACATCATGAGGGAGCAAAAGGCTAGCTAAGGACAAGGCAGAGGCTGGCACTCTACACCCCTATCCCCCTGACGTGTGTGACATTCCTCAGGCCCTCCTGGCTGCCCTAATGGTTACCTAATAGAGATCCCTGTCCTGGAGGACAGGAGTCTCCCTCAGTTTACAGATGTCCTAGTGATTTACAATCACCTGACTTCCAGAAGAGTCCCAACTGACTTCATATTGATCCCTCATTAGGAAAAAAACAAACAAACAAAAACCCCCACAGCTTGGCTTGACAATAACCAGGACTCTAGTGTCCTGATAGTCTTCTTTACCATATGTCAGCCCTTCTGAACACCCCCTTTGTCCGCACCTCCCCCACTCCTGAGTATATAATCAGCCAGTCCTTGGGGTCATGGGGTAGCCGCTCTTTCTGCCCACAGGTCCTGTCTGCATGCTTTAATAAACCACCATTTTGCACTAACGACGTCTCAAAAATTCTTTCTTGGTCATTGGCTCCAGACCTCACTTGCGTTCTAAAACTTCATCAAACAGGAGAGCAAAGTGTAAAGTTATAGCTATAGCAGAGGAAATGTCTCCCACCCTGCAGGCTCCCTGAGCTTTCCCAACACATTTCCCTGGCTCTCAACCACCGAAGACTTTTGCATGCCAACTTTGGTTTCATTATTTGAGACAATAGCTATGCTAGAACATAAATTTTAAAAATTAAGTATATGGGTTTGATGATCTTCAGTTTGCTTGGCACCTAAAGATGCTGGCTTGAATCACTTTCCTCAGGGAGAAAAAGGGAGAGGGACAGATTGGCCAACCCGGGCCTCCTTCTCTTGCCTGTGAAATGGAGGGGAGGGATGTGGGATGGTCTGTCTCCACCCTTCTGGTTTTAAATCCTACGTCTCCTCAGAAGAAATTTATGTTGCATCCGGGACAGAACGAGACAGAAGGAGCCACCCACACGAACACACAGAGAGACATGTGTAAAGGGACCAAGAACACAGAAGCCCAGAGTTGGGAGAGGTCCAAGTCCCGGGTGCTGCCTCCAGTATCTGAGTGGGCTTCGCCTCTGGGTGTTCTGGGTCAAATGGGGCATCATAGCTGGCACTTCAAGGTCTTGGTTAATGATTTAGGATTATAAACTGGCTAGGGAATTAGCAGTTGGAGATTTTGTTGCCACTTTCCTAAGGATGTGTCACAGTAGCAATTTAACAATATAGAATGCTAAGTGACTCCCAGTATATCTTTCCAGGAGCAGAGACTACCCACTGATGGCCTTCTCCAGTGACATCTTCCATGGAGGTGGGGAAGAGTGGGTCAGATGGTGGCATCTCCAGCAGTGTCTGCTTCAAACCTGGTCCTGAGCAGGTCAGATTGACTTTGGCTTCTGAAAACCAACTTAGGATAATCACCAAGGTTAATGCCTTATTCTAATGGTTATTTGGGAGCAAAGAACTACATCTGAAGAAGAATTTTAACTTTCTAGGGTTTTTAAATGTACTTTTAAGGTTCATCACCAAAATAAGATTCTAGATATCTTAGAAAAGATGGGCACTGAAGCCCTGGATTGTTAATGGGCCTCCCAGAAATGATCTCAAGTTCACCACAGTATCTTGTGGTGTAGTGGACATGAGGGCTTGAAATGAGGTTATGTTTGTCAACCTTATCTACTCCCCAACTGGCCCTACTGCCTGTGGTAACTTTTTAAACTCTCTGAATAGTGGTGCCTTCATTGGTTAATGAAGACAGCTGTTTCTACTCTTCCGGACTTGGTGATTTCTAAGCTCTCCTATTAAGGTTTTGTTATATATTTTTTGAAAGTCTGGGCACCACCAAAGGAAAATGAGCTGAATTCTAAGTATAGTGGGAAAAATATGGACTGCACAGTGCTGAAAATACAATATACATACATTTTAGTACCTTGCAATCCTTACATCATCCACGTGAACAATAAATTTGTGTGCTGGCCATAGTTCCAAATTACACCTGAATTTATTTTTTTGTGCAACTCTTGGTCACACCTCCCTCATTTCCTGGTTAGTCCTTTGTAGACAAGCAACTCCTAAATATAGCATGGTTTCTATGGGAACATGCTTTATCTGTGGATTCTAGGAACACATTTTATCTGAAAAACGAGGTCTGCCAGATTGAACCAAGCTTAGAAATTAGAGTTTGTAATTTTGAAGGAAAGAAATTTAAAACTGGTTGAAATGTTGGTTCCGTGTGAAACTTATCCAGCTGAGTTGAGTTGGTATAAATTTGCTTTTGACAATAAGAGTTAGAAATCTCATCTTCTACTGAAAGGTTTTTTTTTTTTTTAATAATTAAACATATGGTTCCATTACTTTAGATTCTTTTGTCTTTTATCTCTGGCCACCAGCGCTGTTGGATGACCATGTAGCAGATAGCACGGGTGGGGACAACACTCACTTTTCCAAAGTCAGTGAGAATTTTATCAGTTACCTAAATGTAGGCAGACAGGAACTTGCTATACAGGTGATTGAGTTTTTATCCTTTTGAATTCCTGTAGTTGAACAGCAAAGTGATTCGGGGCTGGATTTGCCTGCCACTGGAAGTCATGTTGGTCTCTTGCATCTTCATATGTCCTAAACCCAGTGCTTCCTTATAAATATGTTTTGAGGTCTTAGCACAGCTGAAGATGACTATGAGGGTCAAAAGTGAGGTTGCTGTGAGGAAAGGAAATGCTTTTGAGAAAAATGACATGAACCCTCTTGTGGAAATTACAGCACAGAGGTTTGGGCTTCAAAAGAACCATATCTCTAAATACAGTTGCTGAGGGAAGGGAGTCTTTGAAAATTGAAATATAGAGCTATATTTTGAGCACACTGTTGAAGATATGAATGTGTCTGATAGAGTACTCCTCTAGGTCATTCTTATTTATTTATTTATTTATTTGACACAGAGAGAGAGAGAGAGAGAGAGAGAGAGAAGACACTGAGAGAGGGCACACAAGCAGTGGGAGTGGAAGGAGAAGCAGGCTCCCACCTAGCAGGAAGCCCGACGCAGGGCTCCGTCTCAGGACCCTGGGATCATGACCTGAACTGAAGGCAGAGGCTTAATGACTGAGCTACCCAGGCATCCCTCCTCTAGGTCATTCTTATATTCTTCATGTAAAACATGTGGGCTAAAACATACAAGTATGATAAGAGGCAGCTTTTGAAAAAAAGAAAACCATGGAAGTTTTTCAGGTTACTAAGAAAAATTTCTGCAATAATGACAGTAAAAATGAAAGTCTTGATGTATAAGAATGCTCTTTTATATGTTTAACCAAGAGCTGTGGAGACCAACATCCGTTTGTGGCCCTCAGGAGGTTTATCTGGGTCCTCCATCTTGACTGTTCAACTTCGGAAGTCTTCAGTTTGAAGTGTGCTCGTCATTCATAGCTCACCCCAAGATTTCTCTTGATGCTTGTCATTGCTGGAGTCTTGATTCCAGCTACATGTTTTTGTTGCCTGCCCTGATGTGGATGACCCATAAATAAGCAGCGTGCCCTGAGTCTTCCAGCAGAACCAAATCCTAAGAGGAAAAAAGATCACGTAAGTAGTCTGGGGCATCGTTTGTTTCTGCCTAGAAAACAAGCAGAGAAATACCTAGAAATTACAGGCTATTGAAGGATAATGTTTGGTGAGGAGGTGGGGGCTGTGGCCTTAAGTCTTGAGGTGGGGCAGGGAGACCCAGGGGGAGGTAGAAACAGTAGAACATAGTCCCCATGCATTTAAATATTTTTAGGACAATACTGAGAAGTAACTACAGAAGAGTGGGATCTTGCTTTTGTGAAATATCCTTGTGTATGTTTCGGAGGGAGAAGAGGCATTGGTACTTTGATGCCCTATCCTGTGTCAGGAAATCTGTTAGGTTCTTTACAGACACCATGTAACTTCTTACAAAATATGTGTTCTTATTCCCATATTTATAGCTGAAGAGACAGCTTTAGAGCTTAGCATTTGTCCCACAATTAGGCTGCTGGTGAGTGGCAGGGTACACTGTTTCCAAATGTCATACAGCCTGGGAAGGTGTGTGCATTGAAACTGTGCAACTGACAAATAATTTAGATTTTCCTTGCTTTAAAATAATTTCAAATTTGAATCTTGTCTTCTTAGACTTGGAGACTACCAAAATTTTAAACTAAATTGGTATCATATTTGTTCATAAGTTATATGAAACTCTTCTGTTTCACAGAAAAATCACATAAGCATTATATATTTTATTTTATTGAAAAATTTTTTTTAAAGATTCTATTTATTTATTTGGGAAAGAGAGAGGGAGCAAGAGAGAGTGTGAGTGGGCAGAGGGAGAGAGTGAGGTAGAAGCAGACTCCCCACTGAGCAGGGAGCCCAATGCAGGGCTCGATCCTACGACCCCCGGAGCATGACCTGAGCCAAAGGCAGACACCCAGACACTGAGCCATGCATGTGCCCCAGCATTATATATTTTAAATAAGTACTTTGTGAAAGTGCATATCCTAGCACATAAAATTTGATAATCACATTTTTGAGTTGTAATAAAATCTTAATCAAATATGCCAGGTCCAATATAATGTTTCACAAACAAAGAAATTAGTTATTCCCTCTGAGGAGATGCTGGAGTAGCAGAAGAAAAATTCTAAAATATCTTAGACATTTGCTGTAGAATAGCTTCTCCCTCAGATACCATCGTTCAAACTGCTTCTGGCCAGGTTAGTGGTAGATACATGAGAAAAAGGGACACAGATCCTTCAGGACAGGGATGACTGACCTGTTGATGTCTGAGTCCCACACTGTCCAATCAAATGTTTGAAAAAGTTTTTTATTTTTTACTGTCAGATATTCATAAATATCCGACATTCATAATATTCATAAATACTTACTGGTGCCATAACAGTTTTATGTGACTAAGTGTATATCTGCCTAGGTACATAAAGTAAGGAGAAAGGGGTAAATGTCTTTTCGTTTCTGATCTTTCACGTTAAGTATCATAACTTTTACATGGCTTTTCTTGCAGTTGTTACCGAGCTATTTCAAGTGCACTAGCTCATGTAACTTTCCAATAACTGCTTCACGTAGACAGTAGGACCTCTCCCCTCCACAGCTTGAGCTCTGTGGAGCCAGGTGACTCACACACACTCCCACAGCGACCCAGTGACAGATCTGGCACTCGTTTACAGGACGGCAGATTGCTACGCAGTCACTGCTCCTTACACATCCAGCCTGAAAAACTTACATAAAACTTAAACATGGGCATCTGAGTGGCTCAGTCGATTAAGTGTGTACCTTCAGCTCAGGTCATGATCCGAAGGTCCTGCAGTTGAGCCCTGCATTGGGCTCCCTGCTCAGTGGGGAGACTGCTTCTCCCTCTCCTGACTCTCTTTTGCTCTCTCTCTCTCTCTCTCAAATAAATAAATAAAATCTTTAAAAAAATCAAACAAAAACAGAAAACAAAACTAAATAGAACTCACCCATCAACCCCAACTTTTCACGGAAATGTAACATACTAGTCTAAGATTCAGGGTTAGCAAGAAGAAGAGTGCAGGATATAGTGTGGGCAGCTCCCTACTCAGAAGCTATTCATAGAAAATATTATATATTTATTTAAAGTAGGCTCTATGCCCATCATGAGTCTTTTTTTTTTTAAATTTTTTTTTTTTTTTTAATTTGACAGAGATCACAAGTAGGCAGAGAGGCAGGCAGAGAGAGAGGAAGGGAAGCAGGCTCCCTGCTGCTGAGCAGAGAGCCCAATGCGGGGCCCGATCCCAGGACCCTGGGATCATGACCTGAGCCGAAGGCAGAGGCTTCAACCCACTGAGCCACCCAGGCACCCCCCCATCATGAGTCTTAAGCTCATGTTGCCAAGGATGAGAGTCACATGTTCTATGGACTGAACCAATCAGGTACCCCTAGTAGAAAATATTTTAAAATGTCTGATGCATCTTCTTACAATAATTGCAATTTATATGATCTTCTCTATGTTATCCCAAATTGGATTTCTAACAATAGAAAAAATGACCTTTGTAGATCTGAGTGTCACCTGCGTGTATGCTGACTCTGCCTTTATTTAAAATTTTGTTATTTTATTCATCATGAGTTTTTTGCATTAATTTAGATTTTTTTAAAAAATTGCATTAAAATACCATTGATTTTAATTAATGAGTTTTTGGCCTTTCCTTAAATTTTATGCCACAGGCTAACATGTCCCATGCTAATTTCAGCCCTGGCATGTGAGCTGAATAGAATGACTGTCTACAGTTATGAATTTTATACTCAAACAGACTTATTTCTGTGATTTTGCTTCACTCTTTTTCTTCAATGTTTTGGTAATTAAGGGGAGTCCCTGACAATATATATTGGGTCTACAGCTTGAGGTTTATAAACAGTTGGCTAGGATTGTAAAGCTCAATATTATTAGTTAGTCGCTGTATAGTTTCCATATATCTGTTATAATTTTGTGAATCTTTTGATTTAGGAGTTTACGGTCTTCTAAGCATTTTGTGGTGATACATGGAGTCCAACAATATGACCACCCTGCCAAATGCCTCAAACACAGAGCAAGGCCACTGCAAGGGACACTGCAGGCTGATTTTGATAACACTCTACAGCATGGTTTTGCTTGGAGGCACCATGGGGACAGTACTGATGTCACGTATGATGTGCAAAAGGAAAAGCCAATCCATGATTGCCATGATCATTCTCAATATCATAGTGCTACACTCAGTCCTCCTGGTCAGCCTCCCGTTCCGCCTCAGCTATTATATCTTAGGGGTGTGGGAGTTCGGATCCTTTCTCTGCCGACTGGTCAGCAGCATAATATACGGTCATATGTACTTCACTTTTGTTTTCTATGTGGCCATTGTCATACTCCGATTGCTCGTCTATTTTAAGAAACTCCAAATGCAAAAGTTGCAAAAATACCACATGGTAGTATTAAGCATTGTTATTTGGACCACGGGCAGCCTTGTTTTTTGGCCAATATTACTTTTACAATATGGCATACATCCAAGCTACTCAGAAAAACCACGGTGCTTTGAGTTCTACAAAGATCTCAACCGGGGGGATCTCATTATCTTGAACTACTCTATGATTGTCATTATGATCTCAACAGTTGTTATACTCTTTCTGATAGAGATGGGTGTCATCGTTCAACTGATAAAAGCTCTCTGGCCTGACATGTGGGTACATCAAGACTATAGAGCTCAAATCAAGAGCTTCTTCTTCCTCCTAGTAATAGTGGTCTGTTTTATACCCCATCACGTATTCCGGGTATATTTTATTCAAAATTACTCAGAGATAGACAATTCTGAGTTAGTTCTTTATAATGAAATTTTTGTTGCTTTGACTACTGTCTGTTGCCTGGATATGGTGTGTTTCATAGGTGGGGTTATCCATTAAATACTCCTTGTCCCTCACTTTGTAATTGGTTTTTTACCATTGTGACAAAACAGTTTCAAATGAACAACTGCTACCATGATTTCAAAATTTTTCAAATTCTCAGCTCTTAATTGTCACCGGAATTATTTTTCCATGAAAAGGTAATGAAGACCAATTGTCCCCCTCTTCTTGGGTGATCTGTTCTCCCTGAACTATATATTCACTTGCCATAGCTCTACCCAAGTTGACCCCAAACATCCTTTCCAGACTCAACGGCTACCTCTTTTTCATGCAGTACTTACTCCTGCTGAGCACAACCATGGGCCTTTCCTGCTCAACAGTCCAGCCTGTTCTCTTTGCCTTTGTTATTGCTGAGCTTTGATCTTAGAATGTTCTTTCCCTCCTTCTCCAAACTATATCTTCTTTAAGGTCTAGAGAATTTGAAGACATGGACTCTAGAGCCTTAACTTATTCAACTTATGCTCAACCTGATATACGTGCCTCTTGAAAATGACCGATAGTCAGCGAAGATATGGCCGCTGGCCATAGTATTTGGAGGAAAGAACTAAGTTTAGTAGTCAATAGACTTGACTATTGGAAGGAAACACTTCCAGGATTGCTGGAGCATTAATATGGCTTGATTCTGACTAAGACTTTGTAGGTACTCAGGAAATAGAGAATGCCTCCCAGATTGACGTTTCCAGATATGGATCCATTAAGCAGGAAAAGAAATTGGAAAAGGTGGAAAGCAGCTGGTCTTAGTCAAAGCATGCTATACTAGACTATATTAGATTCTATTAGAGCCCAAACTTTTGAGAGTGTGGGACTGTTTTTAAGCTTATCCAAGGCACCCTATATGAACAAGTAACATTACATAATGAAAATCAACTCTGGTATCAGTTAAATGCAATAGAAATTAACCAAGACAAGCAACCTGGATTGAGATAAATAGAATACAAGTTGGTTGTCTTGGTTATTTTTGATAATAGAATTTATCAAATTATTTTTGATCAATAGAATCGCAGTTGGTTGTCTCGGTTATTTTTGTTGTGTTAGTTGATACTTACCTGACATAGAAATTGAAATGCCCTTATTCTTTTCTTATAATAATGCTACCTTTGATATTAAACTTTAATGATCAAATAACCAAACCCTTACTGGCTAACAAGACAGCATAGTTAATACAAAAGGATTTGAGGGTCATCCACACATGTGGATTTAAAGGTTTTTAGTAACTATGGAATCATGGATGAGGTATTTATAATCTCTGAGCCCCAGTATCCCATGTTACAGGGTTTGGGTAAAGGTGAAACAAGACAGAAGCATGTGTTAAGTTGTGTTACAGTGCCAGGCATGTGATCCTCAGGATAACATTACTTATTTTCCAAATCCAGCGACACTTTTTATAAATAATTTTAAAATAGATTCAAAATGTTGATTCATGTAAAAATAGACTTTAGAGGCTCAGATGCTATTCGTCAATGTTAATCTCACGCTTTATGTAATTATTAAGTCAGTAACTTAATGGATGCTTATTCTTATTTTTGCCTATAAACACTTATTATTATTCTATTATTATTTATAATACTTAAAATACTATAGAAGAACCATTTTATAAACCTGCTTATAAAACAGGAACAAGATAAATAGCAGTGCACTTCAATTACATGTAATCACTTTTTAAGGGGATATGATATATCCTGAGTAACTTCAAGATTGTGATTGATTGTGTAACTTAAGGATGTAGTCATTACTCGTTTACCACTTTGTTGGGTTCCATGATTTCCTTTTAATATTGTGGGCAGCGGAGCTAAGGAAGCCTCTGATAAGCTCTACCTGATATTCTTGCCCCTGTGCAATCTCCCCTTTTACTACTGACTTCTTATGAATGAAATAGGGCAGAGCAATGAGGTATCATTTCCAGTGTTAGGTTATAAAAGGACTATGGCTTCCATCTAGGGCATCCTTTCTCTCCTTTGTGCTGTCTCTCCGATTGCTTCACCCTGGAGGAAACCATCTGCCATGTCATGGGGCAGCACAAGTGGCATAGAGTCAATACCTTCTAACAACCACGTGAGTGAGCTTGGGAGTGGATCTCCTGAGACCTGCCAGTAGACATGCAGCGAGCTCAGAAGCAAATCCCCTCCTATTTGAGTCTTGAGGTGATGGCAGCCCTGGCTGGCATTGAGTGCAACCTCACTGAGAGACCCTGAGCCTGAACCACTCAGCTAATCTGCTCCTAGATTCCTACCATGAAACAATGAGACAATGAATGTTGTCTTCACCTAGTAAGTTTCAGAATAATGTATTACACAGCAATAGGTAACAAATAAGTAAGCGAGTTATTTACACCTGTGGAATGCTGCCACATAAGGCACTTGTGTTTGAGATTTACATCCACTTGTTAGTTCCTGCCTGTTCCAGGTGTTCATGATAACAAGAAATATCATTGCCTGTTTTCTGCGTCAATAAGAACTGTGTCTGGTATTGTAAGAGCTTTGCTTCTACCCCTAAAGAATAGATGATATTACATGGAAATACACTGGAGTGGTTTTAGGGTGAAGACTGCAAAGGGGACAGCTGGGGAGTGGGTAGGAATTTCTCTTTGTTAGTCATACTGAGGTATGGATTACGGGCGCTCTGAGTGTGGTTCCTAGATCCCCACCTGCAGGAGCAGTATCTGGGACCTTATTAAAAATGCAAATTCTTGAGCTCTACCTGTGACCTACTGATTCAGAAATTGTAGATGTGGAACCCAGTGATTATGTGTTTTAATGAGCCCTCTAGGTGATTCTGATGGGAGAATCACCTAGATTCTCATGATGTAATATCATCTATTCTTTAGGGGTAGAATTGCTGTCCTAGATACACTTAATAGATTAAAAATGGACACAAATTCTTTGGCATGGCTCCCACTGTGAGATGGAATCTCTTTCCCTTCCCCTTCCCTGGGAGTGGAATTTGCGACTGCGCCAACCAACAGAACAGAGGAGAAAGGACCCTGCCATTTCCAGAAGTGGGCCTTAAGAAACTGGAAACCTTCATTTCCCCTCCCTTGGAACACTTGCTCTTGGAGCCTGAACTGTCATGGAAGAAGTTTGACTTCCCTGCTGGGGAGAACACGTGGAGATGTCTGCGATGGACAGCTGGAGATGAAGGGGAGATGAGCTCAGAGAAGCCCAGTCTTCCGGCCAAAGCACCAGGCATGGGAAAGAAACTGCTTGGGCTCGCCAGACCACCCCGCTGCCGTGGAGCTGCCACCATGTGATCCCAGTCCCCTTCAGACAGTGCGGAGAAATTGCCCACTCAGTCCTGCCTGAATTCCTGATCCACACAACTGAGAGATATAATGAAATGATTGTGTTAACCATATTAAAAAAAGAAAAAGAAACAAGTGAAGTTGAATTGAATAATATGATTTATGTGGCCCATTCTATCCCAAATATTATCATTTAAAGAAACAATATAAAAATTATTAATGAGATTTTTTGCATTCTTTTATTCCTATTAAGCTCTTCAGAATCTGGTGTGTATTTGAGGCTTGTTCTGAGTAGCTGCATTTCAGTGGTCACACATGGCTCATGGTCAATATATTGGACAGCACAGATAGGCATCACCCAGAGATCATTTGGAGATGTACCTGAGGATCCTTTTTCTTACAGGAGACTGGCCTTGTGTCTCTCTGAAATTCACTTTCCTCCCATGTGAAACAGGAATAATAGAACCTACTTCAGAATATAAAAATTAAATGGTATTGTAAGAGTACAGATAGCAGTGCACAGCAAGTACAAATTCTCTGTCTCTCCATATAGATACTATTGGTTCTGTTTCTGCAGAGAACCCTAATGCCTGTGTGAAGCAAGATATCCCTGCTACCACTAGCTTTTGTTTATAGACAAATGTCATGTATGTTTGTATTAAGCAACGGATTGCTCCAGCCCACAGACCTAAGGGCCTTTGGAAGGAAGCCTTCCTCTTGCAAATCCACACACAGGACCATTAGTGCCGCCACCACATAGGTCTGCCCTGTCCTTCCTCTCTTACTCATGCTCCTAGTTGGCAAAATCTTCTCTCCACAAAGTGGCACAAGATCTCCAATGTCCATGCCCAGATTCTCCCGTTCTTCCAGTGTTTACAGTCATCAAAACACAAGAACTCTGCTGGGCTCCAAGTCCATGGCTGGACAGAATGAATTGTCCCCAGTTCTACCTAGGTCCAGAGTCTCTAAAACTGTCTTTCATCCTTCCGTTACCTCTGGCCTTCATTCCATGTCTAAAATTTTTTAAGTCTCTGGATAAACATCCCTATCTGTCCCTGATCTTTTCCCCAACCCTATATGGAGTTCTCTGCCTGGCCCTGCTCCTGAGCACCAGGAATCTGGCCCTGATGCATGGTACTTTGGGTTTTCTTGTTACTGGGCTCCTGGTCGGATCTGACCACTGGGAGTTACCTGCAGGAGAGTTGGTCCAGAGGGAGGAATGAGGATGCAGCCTTGATTCTCTGCCCCTTCCCCACGTTGTTATCATACATCTAGCAGGGCCTGCAGCTCTAGGCTTCAGCTTCTACTTCATGGCCCTGCTCTCCCTGCATTCCATGGAGAATTCCAAGGTCTTTTCTTCCTTATGTCCCTCCAGGCCTGGACTTGGTGCTGCAATCTCTGTTTACATCAGTATCCCTTGTTGGCTCCCTCATTTCTGCTCACAGAAACGTACCTTCATTAATGCCTTTTCAGTTTTTCCATCGGAGTTGCATTCTGCTTCCTGCAGAGAGGTGGCTGATTCCTTAAGAACACAAATCCCTTCCTGAAGCTGGAGTGGAAAGGGGAACTCCCATTCTCTGCATTTGCCTCGGTTTCCCCAATTCAAACGTCCTCTTCCCCGTCTCATGAAATGAAAGATTTCACAAATATCAACAGATTCAAATAAATAACGAGGTGGGGTGAAGAGGCAGAGACACTGACAGAAATATTATCAGGGTAAAAAAGTAAACGTGGCCTTGGATGCATCCATAGAGAGGACTTGCCACCTCTTCCCCATTTCCCTGTGAGAAGGTCAGAGGCTTTAGCTTCAGGCAAGATAACTTCACGCCACAGCACCGAAGAATCCAGCAAGAAGTTCTAATGTGACTCTATTGCCCTCCAACTCATTCTGGATTTTGAAGAGAACTGAAAACAAAACCAAACCAACCAAAAAACCCAATAATTTTATAAATGTACATGTGTCTTGAAACTGCCTTTTGAGTTTCTGTTATTTCCACTCAATTTTCCACTGGGCTATTTCAGGTGGAAATGTCAAGTAGATTGCAGGAGAAAAAAAATGGTACCCCCTTAAGAAGAAATGCTGCAGGGCTATACCGCAAGGTCAGTATCATGCACCTGTGCCAGGGGGATTTTTTTTTTTTTTAACTTTGTTGCATTTGCTTTAGGGCACTAGCCTCCATTCATTATAACAGTGATAGGGATTTTTGTGGAAAGGTATAGGTTTTAGATAGATGATGCCCACACAGGAGTACTAAATGGAATATTTTAGAGTTTTATCTCTACATGACAATAGATAACAATTATTGAGTACTCCCCTGCTGGAGACTGTTCTAAGCCTTACATCTACTTTAAATCATTGAATCCTCAGAAAGTGATTAAATAGGTTCTATTATTATCTCCAGGAAAGACACTAGACTATGAAGAGGATAAGAAACTTGCCCAACGTCACAAAGACCCCCCACTACCCAATACTGCCTCCTCACAGGGATTTCACAAAAAATATGTATGCTGGGGGGCAGTTAGAAAAGCCTTAATGTAATAAGCGTTATATATTCACAAATTACTGATCACACAGAGCAAGGGTGATCCTGCTATTATTACTCAAGGACTTTTGCCCTGTAACTTATTCCCTGGGGAGTCACTCATTCTGTGGATCTTAATAATCCTGATTTAACAGTCAGTAGTGGTGAGACTCATTGGTCTTCTCCTTCCACTGTGTCATCCTAGAATCCCTGAACTCATGATCTCCCCTCCAGTTCTAATAGTTCTTTTTTCCACCCTCACGTGAAAAATATCATTCACTCAGCCAAATCTGAAGCTTCAGAGTTTTCTGTGGATTCTCCTCCTTGCTCACTCCTGTAAAGCACACCTTCGTAAGTCCTATTGACACTAAGCCCAAGATATCTCATGCAAGTCTTTTTTGCCCCTCGGCCTGTGTTCTCTGCCTTCTTGTAGGGCTAACCCCACCCTCCCCTACTGCTACAATAGCTTTCTATTTTATTATCTCTCGTTTCACTACCCCAAACACATTTACTCCAATAGTCACACTGATGTCACAGAGGATTTTTCTTTTTCTTTTTTTTTTTTTTTTAAGAATCAAAACCTTTTAATGTCATCCATCTGTTGTAAATCTTCCCATTTTAAATGCTGAGAAGTTTCCCACTGTTTTCCCATAAAGCCCACACCCTTGATCAAGCTGTGAGATCTTCTGTACGTTATGTAAATGAGGCTTGCGCTTCTCCTGGGGCAGAGATTTTGGCATTATAATGAGGTAAAAGTAGTTGTGTGGCATTCTAGAGATCAC